AGCGGGAAGTGGTCTGTAGTCCTGGAATTAGGTCTCAGTGGGCTGTAGCCTTCACTAACTAGTGCCTGTCAGTCTTCCACTCCACTCCCTTAGTTGGGACAGGATGTCTAGACCAGGCAGGAGTTAAACATTTCTCTTTATCCAGATTAGTTAGGGCCTGATAAAATCTCAATAAATTCTGCTCTATTAAAGTAACTTCTCTTGAGGGTAGGCCTTGTTAAGAAAAATAGAATGCTCTAACTCATTTCAAGTGGTTACTTTCCTCTTCCCCTGCTAGAAACATAAGGAATCCCCCCCAACACCCTGTTATTTACTGTGAACCCAGGAGAGCCTGTGGAGTAAAATTCACAGAAGTATGGGGGCCCTTCCTTGGACTTTTGTGATGTCCATGTTGAACCTCCAGTAATTTTTCATCGACAGTCCAGGATCCATCTCCTATTTCCTGTGGAGGTTTCTTCTTGTGGATTTCTGCTCAGGTAAATGGTAATTTTCTGTGTCACTTACCTCTCTCCGGTTGGAGGCAGTGACTTCATGTGACTCACTTTCTCTGACAGATTTAATGTGGTTTTCTGTTTGTTCATATTTTTACCTGTTACAGTTATATGGTAGGTAGCTCCTTCCATGCCAGATCAGAAACCAAAACTCCTGCCCCAAAGTTTTATTTGCTAAAGTTATTCTCAAATTTGGAAGAGTTTGGAGATGCCATTAAGTCCATTGCCACAAGAAATTGCTAAATTTGACCTGAAGTTGCCTCTATAGGTAGTGAATTTAATATGTAAACAAGCCTCAGCCTATCGCAGCAGTTGAGCTTTTAGCACATTGCCAAAACATGTCCAAGTAAAGCAAATACCTGGCTGTAACCAATCAGGCTATTTCTCTGTGTGTGTCTTCCTTTTGTTTGTCTACCCTACCCACATCATTGAGTGGATCTCTCTGAACTTTTATTGATTCAGGATATGGTCCAATTCATTAATTGTCTTTTTTTTCTCCAATACTGTTAAGTTTAATTTGTCTTATGTTTTTTTTTTTTTACTTTTAATAAGATGTTTGACAACCTCCCTCTGCCTCTACCCCCCACACAAACATCTCCCTTCATTCCATGGAAAGATGATTCCTGGTGAGCTTACTGACTCTTCCTATACAGAAAATTATTCATTCTACTTAAAAGTGTCCTAGTTGTTAGAAAATTCCTGTTACTTCCTTTTTTTTGGTTTTAGTTGTGCACTAAAGTAGAGACAGCTTCACAATGAGAAAAGGAGCCATACAAGTTGTTGGCTCTCCCTGAAGGAAGGCAACCGCACTCCGGTCCCACTGGCAAGAAGGACAACTAGATTGCACGGGGAAGTCAGAGACCTTCATGCCCACTGGAGTTGGGCTCCATCTCTCAGGTTCATGTAGCAGAGAAAGATCCCTGGACGGAGAGTTGAGTGTGATCTTGGAAAGGCTTCCTTCAAGAGGAAACCTGTTCTGGACCTTGAAGCATCATCAGGAGTCTTTGGCAATCTCACTGGGATTGGGAATTGGGGAGGGCAAAGTTAACAGGAGAAAGAAGTAAACAACAGCAACAACAACAAAAATAGAATTTGAAAACTATTAGAGGCAAAGTGAGACCAGTGACATCCATTGTTATGGTTTGGAGCTCACATGTGAGACAACGCAAGAAGGTTCAGAGGAGAAATGATTAGGTTGTAAGAGCCTTAATCCAATCAGTGGATTAATCCCCTGATAGGGATTAATTGAGTCGAAGTGACAGGGTGTGGCTGGAGGAAGTGTGTATTGGGGCATGGCTTTGGGGGATGTGTTTGTATTTGGCAAGTGGAGATCTCGATATCTCTCTCTCTCTCTCTCTCTCTCTCCTCCTGAATCATTATGTGAGCTGTTTCCTTCTGCCACACTCTTCCACCATGATGTCCTACCTCACCTTGAGCCCTGAGAAATGGAGTCTACTGTCTATTGATTGAGACCTCTGAAACCATGAGCCCCTAAATAAATTTTTCCTCCCCTAAAATTATTCTGGTTCAGTTTGTTAGTTACGGTGGTGAGAACACTGACTAAAATATCCATTGTCTCAGTACCGATTTGGGGATCCTATTTCCAACTGGAGATGAGTTCTAGGAAGGTGTTTAGTCATGTCTTACTTTTCTTTTGGAGATTTTCTAATCTTTCTTTTTCTGTATCCAAGAAGTGGAAGAATCCTTGGAAATCATCCAGTCCAAACTTTTCCTTTACTCTGACAGGGAAATTGAGGCTCGGAGGTGGGAAGGGGCAGATTCAGGATGAATCAATAGCAGAACCCAAGCTTCCTACCTCCTAGCAACCATTTTCTTGGCAAGTCAATAGAGGTGATGCAGAGAATGAGAACACTCAAGCAGGCTAGGTAGAGAAAAAGACAGAGCTGGGGACAGTGATGAGCCTGATCAGGGAATTTGAGATGAACCAAGAGGAAAGTGCTCTCCTTTGGCAGCCTATCCCCTACAGTCTACCCTACTTTCAACAGCTGGGCTAGCTAGGTGACCAGTATAGGCACACAGTATCCAGAACTGCCGTGTGCAATCTTGCTTCCTTGTGTTTTCTCCACTAGTGTTCCTCTGCCCATCTTTTTTTTTTCTTTTTTGATGGTGCTGGGGGCACTCCACCAACTGGGCTATATCCCCAGCCCATCTTTTAAGATGGTTCAAATTCATAGCAGGAAGAACTTTTCCCATGCACAAGCAGGTTGTGTGTTCATGTGCTATGGTATATATGTGTGCATGTTCCTGGAGTGTGGTGGAGGAGAGAGACTTTGTCCTGTCTTCCTGTTATCACTGAGATTGTTGAGAACTCTTTTCTCAGCACTAACCTCAGGCAGCTGCATTTATTTTTTTCTTGGAGATGATAATGGTTTCTTCACTGATTAGGGTAGTACTCAAAATGCAACTCATGGTTTTTGCATGTAACTACTTTGCACTCTTGGATTGTGTTTGGTGCTTAAAAAAGAAAAGGCTCCTGTGCCCGACACACCTAGTAGTGCCTCCTGGGCTTGGCTGGTGTTGCATACTATCAAACACTAGGCATCTATAGGAGAAGGGGAAGTCCATCAGGGTTAAGAGGCTGGGTTAGGTTTTTGGCAGAGTTAATATGCAGGCTGTTTGTTTGTTTGTTTTTTCTTAGTTTTGACTAATCACAAGATGTTTATTGACCAGACTGTTGTTCCTGGAGAGCAAGATGACTCAGAACAAAGGAGACAGATGCCAAATGAAGGCAGAGATGCAGGAAAAACTGAACAGTGGAAGTCCTTCTTACAGGAGTACTTGGCAATGGAGTATCAGGTTATGAATGGGAAATAAATAAGTAAATAGTTATGTCCCATGTGAATGCTTTCCAAAGAGGGACCTCAACAGAGGAAGCCTTCAATAGTCAAGTGTGCAGGACAACCTGCTTTTGCAGTGGCTAACAGTCAGCCTCTCTCCCTAGCAACCTGCGTCACCACCCAAGGAGCTCATCAACAAAGTGGCCATGGTGATAGGGATGGAGGTTATGCATGGGCTCAGCAACATGGATTTCCTCTCACTGAGACCAACCTGGCCACAGCCGCTGCTGAGGGCCCCATCTGCCAGCAGTGGAGAATGGCACTGAGCCTCCCTGGGACATCATTTCTCAGGTGATCAGCCAGCCACCTGGGGACAGGTGGATTACATTGGACCACTTCCCTCATGGAAGTGGCAGCATGTTGTTCTGTTAGGGTCTGTAAACAAGTCAAGATGGCGCCTGGCATTTTGCCAGAGGGAGTGGTTTGTGAAGTAACGCCAGCGAGCCATTAAGTGTGGCGATTCCTTATTGGTTGACTGCTGTATCTATTTTATGTTAATTAAGATGAGCTGGGTGTAATGTATATATACCCCTCCTATCCTACAATAAACGGCTCCCACTCCTGCTGTATCAATGTACACAAGTTGCTCGTCACCCCCCGTTTATTTTGCTGCAGCCGGACTGCGGCATTGTTCTTCCTGGAATAGATACTTTGGGTTGGGATTTGTCTTCTCTGAATGCACTGCTTCTGCCAAAACCACCAACCATGGATTTATGGACTGCTGTATCCATCATTGTGGTGTTTTGCATAGCACCATTTCAGATGCAGGAACTGGCTTCACAGGAAACAAAGTGCACCGAGAGCACATAGTCATGGAATTCATGGGTCTTTCTGTGTTGGGGATATTATCTCACTGATTGTACTTCTCTTGCACATTCAATACTTAATTTGGAGCTCATCATCAGTGCAGACAGGTGCCTGGTTTCCCTGAGCTGCCTATAATGCCTCTCTGTACAGACACGCTCACTGTATATTCAGGTCTTGGTTCTGGAATCAAGTTCTCACCAATCTTTCACTTTCACTAGGACAATGAATGTCCTTGAACATCATTCTTTGGAGCACACATAGGAGTGCCCCTAGGTTCCAAGGAGTAGGAGAAATTCATTTCCATTTCCATCTTCCTCATTACAGGTAAAGTGCATTGCTGCTTCTATTACTAAAAGACATGCATAATTCAAGTAAGGCTTTACAAACCCATTGGATGTCTAATGTAGAAGTCACTCTTTGTCCCAACATAACATGGCACCCACCACCACTATTTCTGTGATCCCCAGGAGATGGAGTCTTCAGGCTGGTTTTTCTTGCTGTCCTCCTGACTTACCCTACACTGTCTAATGTGGGCTGGTCTCTAGAGCAGCCTCCTGTTTCTCGGAGACACTTGTCTCAGAATTTGGATTCTCTAGCAAATGGAAATGTTTGAGCTGGTGTGAATTGTTTAGGATGTTGCAATTGGAGGTGGGGCGGGTATGGCTACTGTAAGCTGTATTAATGTTTGGCTAAAGCTCAGGGCCCAAGAAACTGCTCTTAATTCCCCTTGTGATGCCTGCTCACAGTAAATAAAATAGCCTCAGATGCTACAAGCTAGACAGGATGATTTTTTTCATTATATTCTGCTTTTCTCAGATCCCAACTAGGGAGCTGTGTGACAGGTGGATCTAGGCAAGGCTGGATTAAACATTAATGCAGCTGCCACTGCTGTCCAAAGGAACAAGTGCACCAGAGCTAATCTCCAGAGTTACCTGAGGAGTGGTGAACAGCAGCCATGGCTCAATTTGCCCAGGTTCTAGCTGAAATAGGTGACTTTGGTCGCTTCCAGGTACAGTTGACAATCCTGATGAGTATCCCCAACTTCCTGTCCCCCTTCTATATGTTTAGCCAGGTCTTCATGGTCCTGGATGAGACCCACTACTGTTCAGTGGCCTGGGTCAAGAACCACACGCTCAACCTGAGTGCAGCTGAGCAACTGACACTGAGCGTGCCTCTGGATGCTGAGGGCAGACCTGAGTCCTGCCTCATGTTCCGGCCACCCCCCAATAACGCTAGCCTGGAGGACATCCTCAGCCACCGCTTCAATGAGACACAGCCTTGTGAGACCAGCTGGCACTATCCTGAGGACAAGCCCCAATCACTCTTGAACGAGGTACGGCTGGCCTTGTGCCTATCATCTGTCCACTTGTCTTGGTCCCTCTGCCTGACCCTGCACTGACTGTTGCTATCTCCGTAACTCTTCCTGTGTGGCTGCCCATTTGTATGCCTGTTTTAACTTTTGCAGTCACCTTCTTTTTTCTCTTTGTCCTCTGCCTGTTGGTCCATCTAGTCTCTATTTTCTCTGTATGCTCTGCCTGCTCAGCTCTCTGTTCAGTTTTGCCTGTCCTTTTGTCTCCAGGCTTGTCCTTCTGTCTGTCTGCCCAGTCACCTGCCTTTATGCCTGTGCCCTGTTTTCCTGTTCTGATGCTGCCTCTCTCTACCCCCTAGAGAGGCAGCATCAGAACAGGAAAACAGGGCACAGGCATAAAGGCAGGTCTATTTCCCCTTGTCTTTCGGCTCACCCTTGCACGTCGGCCTGATTACCTGTCCTGTGCTTTCCTAACTCATAGGTTGTTGCTTTCTCTGTCCACTTGTTTTCCATCCTGCTTGCTTGACTTGGCTTCCTACTTTCCGGCTTCTCTCTGTAGGTCCCTGCCTCTGGGATGCTGGAGAACACTCTTAAGACTCGTTCTGTGGATAATTAAGCACTTGCTCCTACTAACTTCATTCTCTTAGGAGAGACTTGGGTACATTTACAGAAAGATGCTCTCTCTAGCCACTTTGAAGTAAGAGGGGCCCTCAGAAACATCTAGCTCCTTGCTGTTGTGGCTTCCAGGTTGTTAAGGTTTAGACACAGAGTCCCTCTCCAAGGACCCCTGGTGGTCAGGGAAAATCTGGATCCCTTGTACTGGAGTAAAGGACTAGGTGGCCTCTGAGGCCCAGAATTTGCTTTCTCCTGAAGACAACTTTCTAAATGAAGTGGTAATGTGAGCTGGGTAACAAGATGCTCAAAAATATTGACAGAGAAGAGGTTTTTTTTTTTTTTTTTTTTTTTTTTGCAGAAAGAGTATCAAAAGAAAGGCCTAGAAGCCAGAAACAGGTGGTTTTCAAGGAGTAGGTAACTTGGTGTGCTTGGAATAGGGGTGGCAAATATAAACTAGGATTTGTAGAGGATATTTTCAAGGATCTGGCACCTGTTTTGCTGTTGCTGTTTGTTAAAAAGTAACTTCCCCTTTAAAAAACCAGCAAATGACAAACAAATTTTCTTGATTGCTACCTGAGTTTCATCAAGCACTGGATCTACTCAAGGGGGAAAAGAAAAGGCACCTGTCAAGGAATGTTATAGTTTGGATCTCGAATGTCCCCCAAAGCTCATGCTTTGAAGACCTGGCCCCCAATGCAGTTCAGAGGTATAACTTTGGGGAAGTGATTGGGTCATGAGGGTTCTAAACTCATTAATGTTCTAAACTCATCAATGTCCATTGATAGATTCCTAGCTAAATGGACTCCTATGGAATGGTACAAAACTGTAGGAAGTGGGACCTAGTAGAAGGGAGTGGGTCCTTGTGGGCATGCCTTAGGGATCATGAAATAAATGAGTTTGCTCCACCACATGACCCTTATCAGAACATTCTGCCTCACTACAAGCCCATAGCCTTGAGTCCAAATGATTGAAACCATGAGCCATAATAAATCTTTCCTCCTTCAAGTTGATTTCCTCAGGTATTTTGTCATAGCAGATGGAAAATTGACTAACATGAGGAATATATTAATAAATGACAGCACACACCTGAAGCCCTTCTTTAGCTATAAGAGGCTCCAGGGCAATTAATATTACTGTGTCTAACACATTGATTAGGCCTTTCCATGTGAGTGAGAATACCCCATTTGACAGCCCTTTGGTCAAGGACAGCTTTTCTGAAGTCTTCTATTTGCTCTTGGCAAATTTCTCAATAGGAGAGGGGTCATCTCTGATATCAATCTGTGTCTCAACAAGCAAGATGGTAGATGCATTATCTCAGGCACCCCATTTTCTTTTACTTCTAGTGAGGTCAGAGACCCCTGAAAAACAGAAAAGAAACACATTCATTTGTGGATGTTCAACTGCCATAATCTCTCATAATTGGCTTGTCCTACAGTGTCAAAAAGGTCAAGAGTCTGTGGCTCTCCACCAATCCTGTAACTGCATACTTTTCAAAAACAGCACATACTCAGGTGGAGATTTGTTTGTTGTGTTGGAGTCAAGTGTTCCCAATGGCACCACGGCTCCCAGCAACACACTCAGTGGTCTGCCTCACTGAAATTCTTTTGTATCCACTTGATCCGACATGCACAGACCTGAAACTGACTTCAGCTTCTTCAACAACCTGTGGGCAGCACTCAGAGGCCTCAATTCAGCCTCAGTCAGCAGCCTAGTCCATGCTGGCTGGGTTGGGCCTTAGACCTCTTACCCTTCCACTTCCAACCCTTCCAAGAACTGTGACTCTCAAGGGAATGTACAACATTGGGACTTTGTGACCTGTGCCACAGGACAATCTAAGCTTGGTTCTAGAGCAGAGCTCCTTTGGAATGAGATCTTATGCTTCTGCTTTTTTTTTTTAATCTATGAAAAAGAGCTCTGCCCACTGATGCAGAAGGTCCTCTCTAAGTGGACACTCCAGTGTCCTTGGTATATCCTGGGCTTCGTATTCAAACCAAAATAAAAACCACACTAATCTGAAAAGAAAGAACATGTTTCCTTAAGGCCACATGGCCTTGAAGGTCATAGTACCTGTCTATTTCTTACCTTATCAGTGTAATATTTCCTGGCTCTGTCCATATAGAACTCTGAAGGGGAGGGAAACAGACTGTCAACGAATAGCAGAAATGGTAGCACTTTTCCTGGGATTGCGGACAACGTTGGAATGGCAAAGAATGAGAATCAGAAAAAACAGTCATTTTTAGGGTCTGGAGGTATAAAAATGTCTGGCATCTTTGAGGAATACTCAAAAAAAAAAAAAAGAAGTTTGGAAATTCTTGTAGGGTTACAGGTACAGTGCTGAAGAATATGGGATTTCTGCTAGAGATCCAAGAGGGCCTTGAAGGTTGTAGAATAAGGAAGACATGCTCTAGAAATGAGGGTGGAATTCTGCAAGCTACTCTGGCTGTCCCTGAACAGAACCAAACACTATTGGTGTTAGGGCTGGGGAGGTGGATAAATGGCATCCCAAGTGCAGTCCTCTTCATCTCTGTGCCATTTGCAACATGATGACACTGTGTGAGTTTGGGTGTACTTTGGCACCTCTCCAAGACACAGTCTCTGCTGCTGCTAAACAATGGTCTAAGCGTGAGAATTTAATGATATAAGGGCTATAAACTATAGGGAGGTAGTAGAATTGTGACGAGTGACTAGAGGTGCCAGACTTGGAAGACCCCCATAGCTTGGCATTCATGCCTGCCGAATACTATAGCCCTGAGAGCCTGGTAAACACAGGGCTAGTGCAGCCATCCTACAGAGCTTTACTGAGCGCGGCCTGTGTAACAGCCACCAAGCCAAGTATGTCACATGTGTTAGTTCCTTTAATCCTATCAGATGATACATACCATATAGCAGGTTTTATCACCAACTTTGTACGCATTGAAAACCAAGACACAGATGGATAGACTAACAGGCTCAAGGTTACACAAAGTCACTCAGTTCTGACCCTAGAGCTTGGCAGTTGCAAGCCTTTATTTATTTTAAATGGTATGTTGCTACAAAGGCAATCCATAGTTACTAGGCAAAAACAAACAGGATGGACCAACAGTTAAGAGCCCTTCAGTGTCCCATGTCATTCTCAGGGGTAATCAGTTAATCATTTGACATCTACTGAAAGTCCTTAAAAATTAACAGTTGTCCTTGAGAACAGACGTGTGAGCACAGTGGTAACTCCTGGATTGGTTAATTTCTTGCTAAAGGTTATTTAACTGATGGTGATTGACTGGTCATCCATGTTCTGGCCTTGGTTCCTTTGCTCGTTTTCAGCAAACATTCCCTTAGACTCCACTCAGTTTCATTCCCTGCCTAGAGCAATAGAAATGTGTCAGTTCCACCTGCTGCCATTCAGCTGTGGGATGCAGGATTAGCTGCTAACCTCCCTCGGAAGAAAATAACAATAAGTCAGTGGCTGTTGTGGCAATGATCTGAAGTAATACATGTAAAGCGTTTAGCACCCTGTGCATGGCACAAAACAGGCACTCAAAGGATCCTCACAGGTGGGAAGCTGGAGGAGGGTTCACATGGCACGTTCCCGTACAAACATTCATGTGTAAGCTGAGTTGTGTGAAAAGGATGCAGAACGCCCATGAGGGGGTCATGTGTACTGTACGTGCACATGTAGCGGACATGTGTGCAGAGCTGTGTGGATCCACATATTTTCTCCACTTCATTTCCTAGACTGTGGATTAGGCTGTCTCTAAATCTCCAGGTGGGTAGGCAGCTTTTGCTCAGATGTATCTCCCACCCCGCCCTCCCACTATGTGTGTATGTTCCTCTGTCCCAATCAGGTGTGTGTGAACGCTCCTTATTGCCTGATTGCCTGTGTTTGGTGAGTGTTTCAGGGGATTTTGCAGCCAGATGAGAAAATTTGGAGAGGCCCAAGTGGGTCACAGGGTTGCCTGAACTGAGGGGAAGAGACCCTACTTGTCAGGATGCAACCATCAGTGGTAGGTCATAGGCTCTCAAATTTTATATCCTTAATGTGTCAGGGATTATACATGGTACCTTTAGGCTAAAAGAAATATGGTTCTATGTATTGTTAAGTCCAAAGAATAACACGTGTTTATGTCCTAACAATTTACTAGTGGTTTGAAAGAATAGTACACCTGAATTCAAAGAAAAAACATTTTATTTCATTCTTAAAGAAAGGCAACAACTTATTAATGGGATGTATGTGGCTCCTGAGCACACATAGCTTCCCAGCCCTTGGATACTGCCAGGTCCATTTTTGGTTCCCTGCTGATTTGTACATGGTTTACTTTTTTTTTTTTTTTCTACAGCTGTTACCCAAAACAGGACTTCACAGACATACGATGTCACTGACAGAAAAGAAGGGTGATCTCATGTTGAAGTACAAACTTATCCTGGGCTGGTAGTTTTGTGTGATGTCAGACAGATGTCAAATATCACTCTATTTATTTCCCTTTGAATATACTCTGCTGTGCCCAGTGAGTTCACTGTGGTACCCTGGGGTACCTTGCAACACAGTTTGGAAACTATAGGCATGATCCCTAAGAGAGAGGTCAAGGGCTTAGGTGGTGAGGAACTTGCCCTCAGCACTTCCCCCAGACTCACCTCTGCCCGTGTTTGCCTCAGTTCAACCTGGTGTGCCATCGGAAGCACCTGAAGGAGACCTCGCAGTCGGTGTTCATGTCGGGACTCCTTGCTGGGGCCCTCATCTTTGGGCCCCTCTGTGACTGGTATGAACCTTGACCCGCTCTCCCCTGACCTAGCATGTGTTTAGGCTCCTTAGGGCCCAAGTTTCCCCAAGTGCCCCTCATGCCAGCCTCCAGGAAGAGGCCTGGTTCCCACCACCCTCCATGGGGCTCCCAGAGAAGGGCCACGTCTCCTCCCTCAGACAGCCCAGGTGAGGCCGGTGGGGTTTTCCCTGCTTCTTCCCCAGCAGGGCCCCCATCCCTTACCACACACAGCTCTGCTTCTTTACCTCAGGATTGGCCGCAAAGCCTCTCTCCTGGTGCAGCTGCTCCTGACTGCCTTCGTGGGCCTGGCCACGGCCTTTGTGCCCAGCTTTGAGTTCTACATGGTCCTGCGCTTTGCTGTGGCTACCGCTGTCTCTGGATTTATGATAAGCACTGTTACCCTGCGTGAGTATCTGGCCCACGCCCGTGGGAGCCTTGTCAGGCACCCCGTACCTGAGGCAGTCCCAGGGAAGCTTCTCGTGCAGGGACTGAGACCCCCATGCTGACCTGGCAACATCTAGAGAGCGGCGGGAAGTGAAGGGGCAGGGTGTGGCCCGGTCTCAGCTTTTCTGTCCCCACAGTTTCAGAGTGGGTGAGCCCCTCGTGGAGAACTCGGGCCGTGATCCTGGCCCAGTTCACCTTCGCCTTGGGACAGATGGTGCTGGCGGGACTTGCTTATGGTATCCGCAACTGGAGGCTCCTTCAGATTGCTGGCGCTGTCCCTTTTTTGCTGTTCTTCTCGTACATCTGGTGAGGAGCCACTCGCCAGGAGCAAACCACCCCTAGGCCAGCTTGGTGGGGTGGAATGCAGTGGTCACACTCACCTCCTGGGGCGGTCGGAGGCTGGCCTGGGAGAGGAAGTCTCCAAGTACGGAAGTGTGGAAAGGCTAGGAAGGCTCCACGGGACTTCAGACCCCAAGGTCACAGCTGCTCCTGGCCAACAGGATTCTGCCAGAATCTGCTCGGTGGCTCCTCACCCAGGGGAGGATAGAGGAAGCCAAACAACTAGTTCAGAAGGCAGCCTCAGTCAACAAGCGGAAAATCTCCCCAGAGCTCCTGAACCAGGTACTTCCAGCAGGCCAGGGCTTGTCCCTGCCCCTGACGCTGACCCCCACAGAGCCTCTGCATGACCCCTCACCCTGCATCTTCTTTCAGTTGGCCCCAGAGAACTCAGCCTCCTCAGGGAATGCCTTGGATCTTTTCAGACACCCCCACCTCCGGAAGGTGACCCTGGTTCTCATCTGTGTCTGGTGAGTTCCCCAGGGCTCATGCCCCTTCCTGAGGACAGTGCCAATACGCTGCCCCTTCCGTGGCCACTTTTCCCATGTGTCCACCAAGCGGTGAGATGGTAGCTCTCAGGCTGTGTGCTTCTCTCCCTAGCTGTGCCAGTGTCTCCTTTTGTGACACTGACCAAGGCAGACTGTTCCTCTGGGTGTGATGGCGTTGCACACTCAGCAATGACGGGAACCCTGGGGTGCCTTACAGGTTTGTGGACAGTCTCGGGTACTATGGCGTCAGCCTCCAAGTGGGAGACTTTGGCCTGGACATCTACCTGACACAGCTAATATTTGGAGCCTCTGAGGTGCCTGCCCGCCTTCTCAGCATCTTCATGATGGAGAAGTTGGGCCGCAAGTGGAGCCAGATGGGGACTCTGATTCTGGGTGGCCTCATGTGTATCATCATCATCTTTATCCCAGAAGGTATGACTGGATGTTTCCCTCCCTCCCTGAACCCTGCTGCAGGGGCTGGACCAATGGCCATCACTCTCCTGTTGGGAGTAAAGGTTTCCCCAGGGTTTGGGTACAGAAGAGGTGAGGAGTTTGGGTGGACAAGGTGGCGGACAGGGCCCAAGTGGTGGGCGGCCTACTTTCCGTGTGGTTGATCAGCATCTTCCAGCAGATATGCCCTTGGTGGTCACCGTGCTGGCCGTGGTGGGGAAGTTCGCTACTTCTGCTGGCTTTACCATCTCCTACTTGTACACTATTGAGCTCTTTCCCACCGTCGTCCGGTAAGAGCTGCTGATATGACTCTTGCTTTTCTGCTTCTAGGGCCCTGATTTTGGCCAGTCCTCTGCTACCCTCACCACCAGCCCACAAATAGTTAATGAGGCTGGTTCTGGGGCCCTGACAACCAGGGCTGTAGTGCAAGTCCCCAAGTATCTCCAGGCTGGCAGAGGATAGATATGGATGTAGGCCATGGCCTGGCCTTGTCAGGATAGGAATGTGGGAGAAGTTTCAGAACGAATGACCCAGGAGAAGAAACACTCAGATGAGGGAAGGGGTGGTTGGGAGCCATAGCCTTTGACCTTAGATGGGACAGGTCAGACAGGGAGCAGGCAGACAGGGAGGCCTGGAGGTGGGAGGTACATGCAGGGGCAGGAGCACTAAATAAGCCAGAGGAGACTGGAGACCGTGCTGGCCTTTGGCTGGGGGTGGGGGGGGTCACAATTAGGGGTCGGGGGTAGAGCTGTGGCCTCAGGTTGAGGCCAATTCTGCTCAAATTTTACTGGCCTTCCTGCAGGCAAACAGGCATGGGGCTGGTGAGCATCTTTTCAAGAGTAGGCGGCATCCTCACGCCACTTGTGCTCCTGCTGGGCGAGTACCGCAAGGAGCTCCCTATGCTCATCTATGGCAGCTTCCCCATCGGGGCAGGTATACTCTGTTTTCTGCTGCCAGAGACACGTGGCCAGGCCCTGAAGGACACCATCCAGGACCTGGATCAGGGGCCCAGCACACGGTGAGCAGCTTGCTAGCTCTGAAGCCCAGGACCTGGGCCCCACATCAGAGGCCCCTCCACCAGAAACCCAGACCTCCTCTTCACCATTAGTCCATCATTGCTTAGCGGCCAATATGGATCCCTGTGGAACCCGACATCTTACTGACCTTGGGTCAGATTTCCCGTATTTTCAGGAGGGAGATGGTGAGGGGTGGTGCCATGGGACCAATTTCTGGACAACCAACGACAGCCTTCTTTTCCCTGCAGATCTCCGACGGCCGTGTCCCCAGAGAAAGAAATGGAGTCTACGGGAAGAAGTTCTACTCCAGGGGTGACCACTGTGAGCAGCACATATTTCTGATTGTGGTCTCTAAGAATCAGACCACCAGCAGCAGGGAGCTGCCTACCCATCCCTTTGTGTCCCCAAGAGGACACAGATCAGCCTTGTTTATAGAGGCAGCACACAGGACATGGCCCCAGCCCCTGCCACTGCTGAGTCCAATCCTGGAAGCATCTGGGATGGGACTTCCCTCCTTCCTTCACTTCTCATTCCCAGAGCCCCACTCCAATGCCCCGAGTTAGGGTCTTGGGTGTGTTACGGGCTTCATTTGTTCTCTGATAGTTTGTGGGACTATGGCATCCTGGTCCCTCAGTCTGGAGCACCCCCTGCCCCCCAAACTCAGTCAAATCCAGAGCAGAGTACTAGATAGGGCCTTTCTGAGTAGTGGGATCAAGTGGAAAGGAAATAAATTTCGAAGTTGTGGACTCTACGCGGCAGGTAGACAAAGGGCTGTCGATGAGGAGAAGGTTGTAGTTTCTTCCAGTGGCTGGACCAGGCCCCTCTGGCTAAGGTGTTAGGACCTTCAATCCTGCTAAGAGAAGACTGTACTACATTCTCTTTGAAGTTGCCGCATCCCCTGCCCCACACTTAGCTCTTGCCTAACCTACGTGAGGCTCAGGGATGAGCTCTGCAGAGGGAGACTACATGGCTCTGCCCCTACCCACTGTGCTCTGCTGCTTCTGGCTCTTCAAGGGCCCAGGCAGGGAAGGGAGAAGGGCAGAGGTCTTTATACTTGGCCACCAGTCACTGTTTCCAGGCTTCTACTGATCTTCCAGTGCATTTTGACAGGCTTCTTACCTCTGGCTCTTCCGTGGGGCCATATTCATGAGCCTTTCAGAGATCTTCTCTGGGTCACTGTGTTGTTCCTTAATATGAGCAACCTCCTCACAACTGACCTCTTTAGACCCTTCTTCAGTTCCCACCATAGCAGTGTCCCATATAGTATTACTGCTGGCATCCCCAGACTTTAGAAGACCACCTTGTTGGGTGGTGGACTCCCAGCAAGCTACTTCAAGCCAGGTTACCTTCCACAGCATCTTTTTGGCCCACAGAACACCATGTATCATTGCTCCACCAAGTGGTGGAAAAAGAGCTTGCTCATTCATTTTCCCCAATCCTTACTCCAGCTCACCTCCTGCCAAGCAGAAGATTTTAATTTTCTTTCTCACAGGAACCCCTTAGAAGGGTTTTCTATTAGTCTCTTTTCCATTACTATAGTGAGATACCCGAGGCTGGGTGATTTTATAAAGAAAAGAACTATATTGAGCTCACAATGGAGGTTCAAGGGCATGGGTGTGGTAAGGGCCTCATGGCAGATGGCATTGCAGTGGCAGGAGTGTGGGGGAGAGTAAGAGATCACATCACAAGCCGGAAAGAGCAGAGGGGCCACTAAGCCCCATCTTTGGAAGGTGTTGTCATATCTCACATTGCCACACTTTGGCCCAAGATCCCAAAACATGAACCCTTGGTGGGGACGGCACTGAAACCATTTCCAAACCATGGCAGGTTCTTCCAGAAACTTCCTCCCTTGCACTCAACTTTTCTTATATAATGTACAGAGGTGGTCAGTGATGGACCAGTTCTTTGTGCATCCAGCATGGAAGTGTCCAGAGCCTCTCTTTCAAATACATGGATATTTCATACTGTTTTGAAGTGATGGGTAAAAGTTCTATTCAACTTCCTACAGCATACAGACTCATCAAATACCAAGCTAAACTCTCCTTGTAGGGACACACACAGTCTTCCTTGATATAATGTGCCACCCAGGTTGAAATTTCCAATATGTGATGGCAAAACAAAACAAAACACACCCTGAATAGATTTAGGGAAAGGACCATTTCAGAGTTGCAGGGAGTTTCCTCCCTAAGATTCTGGACACAGGCTCCTCAAAGGAGGCAAAGTGCTTGTCATTCCTGGAAGAGCCTTAAAGGGGACCCTTTGTGGACACCAGTGTAAATGCAGAGATTCACCTAATACTTTGGGGAGTCTTTCAGGATTTTTATTTTTAGGGATTATGGGTGCTTGGAGACAAAAGATCTTTCTCTATGTATTTATAAGTATCCCCAGGCTTATTCTGGTTAGTGGGTAAATGTTTGTCTTTTTGCAGTTGCTGTTGGGAGGTCACTAGCTGGTACCTGTCGGACGCCTGATCTCGTCTTAGCCCTGAGGAGCACAGCAGAAAGGGGATCTCACTGTGCCAGGCAGTGGCCAGCATGTGCCAAACGGTGGCTGTCCTCCAGAGGGTGTTATTGAATACAGAATAACCCATGTTTATGGCACATGCTAGCAGTGAACCTACCAGTATTATGGTTGGTTTTGTAGGGGTTGGTGCAGGACTCAGATCTCATGCCTAACTGGCAGGAGTACCTCCCATTCTGGGTCTCAGCCTTCTTATTTTAGAATGCTAGCATGCATGAGGCCCTGGGTTCAATCCCTAGCACCCCATCACCCCACAAAAAAAGAAAAAGAATGGACAATTTCATAGGTCCCTTTGCACTAATCCTCCAAGATTATAATATTGGGAGCCCTGACTGGGCATGGAGAGCAAAGGAGTCTAGCAATCTGCCCTTGTCAGGGGGACCTCTGAAATTAAAACCACCATTCTTCTCATCTTGTGTTCTCTGCTTCCATTTTCAAAGCCTAAGCTGTCCCCATACTTCCCCAGCCAAACTGCACCTCTGCCTTGACACTGTCCCCTATAAACTATCTTCCACCTCACCCAGTTCTATCCACAGGTACAACTTGTGTATGTTAGTCAGCTTTGTGTGACAAAATACTTGAGGGAAAAGAAATTACAGGAGGCAAAATTTATTTTGGTTCAATGGTTTTAGAGGTTTTAGTTCTTAATTGTGGGCGTGTGGTAAGGCAGAGGAAGCATGTGGCAGAATAAAGATACTTAACTGACAGCAGCCAGGAAGCAGAGAGAGAGAAGAAACAGCTAGGGACAAGCTATGGTCCCCAAAGGCACATCCCAAAGCACTGGCTCTCTTCAACTAGATCACACCACCGATAATCCCTTCATCTCCCGACAATGCCATCAAGTCACAAATCCAACAATGGATAGACGCGTTGATGAGGTTAAAGCCTTCATGATCCAATCACTTCCCCAAATTCCCACCTCTGAACATTGCTGCACTGGGGACCAGGACTTTGACATGAGTCTTTCACAAAAGTCTTCATATTCAGACCATGACACTGTGTCTCTGGAACTGCCACTCAAAAGCCAGCAGATGTCCCCACATCTTCAGCCCTTCCTGGAAGGTTTTGCATCCCCAGCCTCTTCCTCTGACTCTGAGCTTGCTCACAGCTGGGGAGCTGTGGGAAAGGGCTCTTTACTCTCCACTGCTTCTCCACCATTATGTCCCCGCCTTCTTGTAAATCCCCTTGCTCCCACCTCTTGACCTCCAGATCACACCGTCTGATTCATCTAAAACTCTCCTGCCTGGTTCAGTCACCCCTTCTCCTCCAGCGCTGCCATCCTCGTAGGAAAACCCCTCTCCACCTCCAATTCTTAAAGACATTTCTGGCATATAAATGAATAGATGAAGGGCCCTCTAACTCAGACTTCTTGCCTTCTGACCACTGCATTCCATCTTGGTCTCTTTGTCTCATTATTCCCAACTGACCTAGCCATCGAGGGCTGCCACAGCAAAATATCATAGACATTTCCTTAAAACCGGAAATTTATTTTCTCAAAGTTCTAGATGCTAGAAGTCTAAAATCAGGGTGCAGCATGATTAGGTTCTGATGGGGGCTTGCAGATGGCCACCTTCTCTCTATGCCCTCACACAGACTTTCCTGGGTGCATGTGCAAGGAAAGAAATTTTTCTCTCTTTTTTTATGAGGCCACTAATTTCATCTGGAGGGTCCCGCTCTTATCTATGACCTTATCTAACCTTAATTAACTCCCCATGGTCCCATCTCCAAATACCAGAACCCTGGGGATTAGGGCTTTGATATGTGAATTTGGAAGCAGGGGAAGATACAAGCATTCTTCCTATAACACTGTTTTTGGTTTCATTGGGGCCCTCTGGTCTGCTGACCCTTTGCTTTCTCCCTACCTCTCTCTGTCCTCTCTACTCAGATGAGAGAATGGAGCCAACCTTTTAATTTCTATCGAGATAGAGCATTTTCCTCTCTGGCCCTACACTTTAATTCTTTTACCCTGTGGTTGTGTCCCACTAGCAAAACCCACAGCAGCATATGAGCTCAATTATCTGCCTGCTCTTTCTCTGCACCCCCATCCACTGGTCATTGCTAGAGAGTCACATGCTGGGCAAGTCTATTTTCCATGGATTCATGGTTGCCAGCCTCAACCAGATCTGTAAGGGCCCAGGACCCCTAACTAGCTTGCTTTCCATCTCCAGTGGCCATTTCTAACCTCCACTGGGTGTGCTTCCCATCCTCCACTTCCTCACTGAAAGCACCTTCTCCTCCTTTTAGAAATAGGGAGCCACCATGTGGCCATTCCCTAGACTGCCCACCACCTAATCTTTCACCTGCCCCTCACTGTTCCCTGCTGCTGCATGAAAGAACCATCGTGCACAGAGATGGCAGTGACACCACTGAGGACAAGGCTCTTTCCTCTGCTCCCCCCTCCAACCCTCCCACCAAGACCTGGGAGCTGCTGAAGGCAGGGCCTTTTCCTTATCAGCCTCTCTTCTCTATGACCCCCATCTTAGGCAAGGGGTTTGGGCATCCGGCAAGTTTGTGGGGACCTCTGAATTGAATTTGCTTTTGCCCCCAACTTTCCTTTGAGGTGAGAGATTTCAGCTCCTGAAGTTTCTCCTGATCCCACTGGTCTGATGAGTCATTGGCTCTCAATCAAGCCAGGATCACCATTGGCCAGAGAGTCCAGGCCACTTGCCTACAGAGGGGCCTGGGACAGGCCTTGACAGTCATCTCTATTGGGTCTGGGAACAGCCTAGCTTCCAAGTACCCAGGACATGGCCAGGGCCTCCCTGGAGCTGGCCTTTCCACTGCAGGTGGAGGTGGTGGCCTCCCCAGTGCCTGATTGCCTCCCTCCTCAGAGATTTCGGCAATGGGGACCATCAGTCCTGAGCATTCAGCCCAGGTGAGTAGAAAGACCCTGATATTTACTAACTTTCTCAGTCTCTGATCAAGAAAAAAAATATGACCTCGTGATTTTTAAGTATAGATAATTCACATCTGTTGCTAGTATGAATAAACTCACATGTGTAAGAAATCGTATGTTTCTTTGGATTATGCACCTCTGCCTCACTGAGCTGATGGAACATTCTGTCCAGAGACTGGGCCAAAAGACGGGGGTCTGTTATAACCAGAACAAAGGGGACTCCTCACCCTGGTCTTCAGCCTCATGGAAGACTGGTAGGTGCCACCTGCTTGGTCCCTTTGGCCCTAGCAGTGCTGCTAGGGGAATTCAGAGGAGGCTAAGGGGACTAGGACCAGCTGTTCAGGTGACCCACAGACATCAAGGAGGCATAGTAAAAGAGGGAGGATTGCAGTGCCTGCCCCAACACAGGACGACTGAAGCCAGAAGTAAATCTCAAAGTCACTGGAGGGAGGTTTCCCCGTGATTAATATTTCAGTGGCTTTCCTCAAATATAGGGAATTCTTCAAAAAGTGTTTTCAATGTATTTTGGTGCCCCAGTTTTGCCAGCATCTGGAGAACATGCTGTGTTTGCTGATCAGGGAATCAGGCAGCCCTGGGTTTCAGCCTTCCTTGCTTTTCCTGTCTCTCTGGGCCCTGTGCTGGGCAGTGGGCAGTGGAGAGAGCAGGGCACGTGGGGGCGATGTCCTGCTTGGCTCAGGCTGTTCAGAGATACCAAGCTTCTCTTTTTCATCAAGGGTTTTTCAGTTCCCCTGTAGGGCCTGCCTCCTAATGGGCCCTGTGCTGATTCCCCACCCATACTCCACACCAAGATTAGAACCATGATCCCACAAACTAACAGAGGAGGCTTCTGGCTCATGGGGAAATGGTTCAGAGACAGGTGGCTCTGACCACTGTTGGCTGGGGTGTGTCCCAGGCAGAGCAGAGGTGTTGGGGGCAGGGACAAGCTGTTCCCAGCAGTGGGATCAGGAAGGCTTGAAGGACAGCTGACAACCAAGTGGTATCTAGACAGTGGGAGAATTTCCCTCAGTGGAGGTAGGGCCCTCCTGGGAGGGTGGACGTTGCAGGTACAGGAAATACTTTGCACAAAGGCACAGAGCTGGTTCATGTGCACAATCTGTCTTGTCCCATTCTGTCCCTAGGTGCTGTGCCAGTTGTGCCCCTAGAGTAGAATGCTGCCCTCACCATTCCCAGCCCACCCTCTCCATCCCATTATGACACCATCCCCTAGCCACTGATGGAACCCAAGGGTTCCGCTTCCAAGGGTCTGGCTGGCCTGGACTGTGGTCAGGTGGGCCCTGGCTTTGGCTGTGGTCCTATCTCCAGGGAGGAGGGCCTGGGAGGGTGTGGAGGGTGTCAATTATGATAACACCCGGCAGTTGCGGGGCCATGTTTTCAGCGCAGATGTGGACAGGAGCCTGCCTGGGCCTGTTCGGCTGTGGGGAGTCTGTGGAAAGAGCAGGCTGCCCTCACGGAAAGCGTGAGTTCTCAGGCGTGGCACCTGGCCATTTCCTGTCCTCAGGTGGAGTGCTCCTCCTGGCCATACTTTTCCTAGGCCTCAGCTTCCTTTGTATGTTGAGAGCCAATTGCCTGAGGTCTGCCCACCTGGCAGAGGACTGTTGGGATCAGAAGAGGGAGGGGGGGCTCTGGGGCCTTGCAGACTGTCAGCCTCTGTGGGTATTCAGGTGGTGCGAGGGAACACTGAAAGGGATCCTGCAGCAGGAGCTGGGACAGCTGGGGCTGGTTTAGAAACCAGATCTGTTAGGTTTCCTCCCAGTTTCCCTGGGCAGTCTCCTTCACCCACCTCCTCCCCTCTGGTCCCATCTGCACCCAGTGCCTTGGTTTTCTATGGTCCCTGTAACACATTCTCACACTTGCTAGCTTAAGACAACACACATGGATACCTTATAACACCAGGCTCTAGTCAAGGGGTCAACAGGGCTGTCCTCCTTTCTGGAGGCCCTGGGGGAGACTATTTCCTGACCTTTTCCAGCTTCTGCAGGCTGCTGCCTTCCCTGGCTCATGGCCACCTTCCATCTTCAAAGCCAGCAGTAACCAGTAGAATCTTTTGAATGCTGCCTCTCTCTGGTTCTGACCGTCCTGCCTCTTCTTCCACATTCCAGGGACCCCAAATTACCTTGAGCCCCCTTGGCTAATCCAGGATAATCTCTTTGTTTTAAAATCAGACCATGAGTAACCTTAATTTCATTTTCAGCTTCAGTCCCCTTGTCACGTAAGTTAACATATTCACGGGTTCTGGGGACTGGGATGTGGACATCTTTGGCATGACCAATCCCCAGCCAATCAACTCCACTCTCCTGCATTCAGGCATGCTCTTCCCCTCATGCTCTCTGCTCCTTGTACCCCTTCTATTCTTATTGATTTCAAGGGATTCCAGACTCTGGGGCTGGGAAGGAGATGTAGACAGTGAAAAGGGAAAGAATGATGCCAGGCGCCTCCTGTTGGCAGAAATAAGAAATAGCATGACCCATGCCGAAGCAGAGTGGCTCCTCAGTCTGAAGAAGTGGACCCTGTGCAGCTTTACCATGTGGGCATGCCGTCCCATTGGCCAGACTTCACAAAGAAGATGCTGAATTTATGAGAAATCTGTGGGCAGCTAATTCACTCTGTAAGACAGAGAGAGGCATCCATGGGGACTAGCCAAAGGACAGGTGTCTGCAGGCTGGATTTGTCCAGTGGGCAACAATCTGGATACCTCTTGCCTGGATTATGGAATAGCAGAGTCATGATCTGAGAGGGAGGCAGCCTTCTAGTGTGGCTGGAAGGAAACTAGGGGGAAAGGGATGTGTCCTTGAGTGTGTGTCCAAGCAGAGAGTGAGCTCCTCTCCATTCCTGTCTACTCTGTCCCAGAGTAGAGTGCAGAGCTTACTGTGGCTCCTGAAAGTGATCCTAGCCGTAGCTGGGATGAGCAGGGTAGCATGGTAACATGCTAGGTGAGGACCACATGAGAGCTGATGACCAGATTGGGCCACTCTTCAAGGGCCAGGTTTAAGGGGCGGGGATAGATTTGGTGTGTGCAGCTTGGTCTTCCTACAGCTTCTCATCCTCTGGCCCCACAACTGTGCAAACTTCAGCCAGGCAAGAGCCATGGTGTCTCAGCCAAGACCTTTCTTGAAAGACCTTTCTGGAGAAACCTTCCTGGATGACAGAGAGTCTTCAGGGAGATTGACAGAAATGAGAGAAAGATGCCCCAGTTCATCATCTGAATTCTGTCTCTGTGTGTCTTATTCAGTACTCAAGAAACAAGTTTCTGCTAAACTAAAGGCCAGAGCACAGGACAAGTGTGAACACATGGAAGGATGTCCCTTCAGAGGACCTGGCCTGACAGTACGGGTGTTCGGTCTCTATCAGAATAAAAAGAAACAGCAGGACAGAGATGGGATAGTGTCCCATCATATCCGTGAAATGACCCCAAATCAATACAAACTATGAAGCCCAGGGCTGGTATAAGGAAACACCGTCACAAACAGTTGTGGAATGAAATAGTTTTCTCCTTTTGGGTGATACCCGGACATATAAGGTACAAGAGGCATATGACTAGTCCCAGTTCTTGGACATAAGCCCTGGGGAGAGAGCCCTCTGCTCAATGATGGGTACAAAAGGGTTACCTGGAATCCCAAGAACACAATATGGAAACCTGGATGCTCAGCAGCATGACAAAGTAAACAATGCCTTAGTGAAAACTGCAGCCAGTAACGAGGTCATTGTGAGATGAGTTCAGGCTTTGGAAAATACAGAAAGCAAGGAAGAGCAGGCAAAGGCTCACAGGACAAAGCACGCCCTAAATAACAGATTTCCCTGCCACCCCCATCCATCTCAGAGGGCAAGCGTTCCTGCAGAAAGGATGAGAATGTGCATTTTAGGAAAGGGTCCTTGTGCACCTGCGAACCCATCGCCCAACCAAAGAACCAGAGCATTACTAATGACTTATATCCCCAGATCTTTCCTGCCTCCCCCAAGAGGTGATTACCCTGAATTTCATCCTTGCTGTCAAAAAATTTGCAAAGCATACCTAGACCACATCTAGATTTGCTTGCTTTGGAACTTTATAAAAAGCTCAAACACCCAGCTGGTTTTTAGACTCCTCATGTTAATAGATGGAGCTGAAGTTTATGCATTTTCACTGCTGTATTTAGCTATGCAAATATATCACAATTGAGGCCTTCTGCTCTTGATGGGCATTTGAGCTCTTCCTCCCCATGCCCTTATTTGAAACGTGTCATGGACATTTTAGTTCTTATGAGTGAAAAATAGATTCTACTCAGTATTGTCATACTCTCAAGTTTTGTCATCAAATCAGTGTAAAACTCTTACAGATTTGCTTTCCCCTCATTGTTAAAGAGGTTGAGCATCTCTTTTTATGATTGCGGGTCACATGAACTTCCTCTTCTTGAAATGCCTGTTCATGGCTCTTGCCCGTTTTACTATCATCGTCGTCTTATTGATCTGTGGAGGTTCTTGACATAGGCTGATCTCCATCCTTTTTCATTTGTGTGTATACAAGTAGCTTCTCCCAGTTGTGGCTTGTTTTTTTTTTTTTTTCCTACTTTTAAGATTTTCCAATCAATGGAAGTGTAACTGAATCAATGGAAGTGTAACTGATGTGATTCTGCAAGCTGTATACGGGGTAAAATGGGAGTTCATAACCCACTTGAATCAAAATGTGAAATATGATATATCAAGAACTATGTAATGTTTTGAACAACCAACAATAAAAAAAAAGATTTCTTTAATGCAACTAAAAAAAAAAGATTTTCCTTTTTAAGTAGTGGGATTCATTTTTAAATTTTATTGTTAGCATAAAATAGCATGTCCTGATTCAGAAAATCCTTCCGCATCCAAAACTTAGAAAACATTCCTCTATATTTTCTACTGAAAGTATTCGTCTTGAAACTTAAGTCCTTAATAGAACTGGAAATTTTATGACATGAAGAATCCAATTTTAATTGTTTTTATTTTATTTTAATTATTTATATCTATCATTCCACTTTTTCTGTTTCATATGTTGAAACT